TTCAAATATGGACGCTTTGAAACGCGCCTGTTCCCGAGTATAGAGGTTGACGGCACTGTGGCCACGTTCTTCCTCTTCAAGAACGACAGCGACAAGGTGGAGGGGGCGTCCTGGCAAGAGATCGATTTCGAGGTCCACGGTATGGGAATCCACAGCGACAAGCCCATCCAGACTAACATGATATCTGGTGCCATCGGGGAGCGCAGTATGTCTGAGAAGTTTTTCGCCGCACCCGGTAGGCCAGGACGGAAAGCGGCACAAACGAAAGCTATCAAAAGAGGATTCCACCACTTCGCTGTCGAGTGGACGCCCGATCATGTCTCATGGTATTTTGATGAGCGACGCATGCGTCGTGTCGTCTCTTGCGATGCTCCCGGAGCAGACGCGGAAGAGTGCAGCCCTGAAGTGTCACAGCTCAACGGGACAATGAACCTTCGGATGTCCTTGTGGCCCGTCGATCCAGCACTAAACTGGGCCGGAGTATTCGATGAGAAACATACTAAGCTTCCGCTCACCGTGTACTACGACTACGTGAAGGTGTATGACTATGATCCCATTTCCAAGGGTCGGGAAGGAGAAAGGGAAAGAGAGAACATGGTGTTCATTCGCTTCTGTCTGTCTGTATGATGGTAATCCCTCAGGGTTTTCCTTGAAGTGGGCTGATGACTTCACTTCGTTCAACAGCTCTCGGTGGGAAGCAGGCACGCATACGTTTGACCGGAACTACGCCCATTTCCGCCCCGACAAAGCCATCATTGTCGAGGGAGATGATGTGAATGCGTCATACCTTGCCCTCTCTCTTACACCAGCCAATGCCAGCATCGTGGTCCCGGTTCCTCGGGACACCAAGCGCAACCGCTACGAACACAAAGAAGTCTGCGAAGCTGGCACGACCGTCGTGTGGGAGAAAGGGCTGCGCTATGAAGGCGGCATTCTCTCATTCGCAATGCACGTTCCGGCCGATGATGGCCTAGTCCAGTGTGCTGCCGCCTGCGCGAAGACGGCAGGGTGCAGCTTATTCTCTGTGTATGACAGAAGCGATTGCACTGGCTTCGTTTCTCCTGCTCGACAAGTCCAGGACGAAAGAGCCGATGCAGGATTCATCTGCATGGACGGTGAGCCAGCGGACGATCGTGTTTTCCGTCACCTTCGGGAACTGTAGGAAGTGCAGCGAGCTACGTGATGAAGAGCAGCTGCCAGCCCAGGCGACCTCTCGACATCCCACCTTACGCTAACCCTTTGAGCTCACCCAGAAGAAGTCGACGAGGGATGGCCACTTTGTGTCGAGCTCGTCGAGCATCGCCTGGCGGTCGACGCTGGTGTAGCAGTGAATGATTTGTCTTTGCTTTGTCTTTGTTGCAGTCAGCCAGGTGCTTGTCTGCCCAGTCAATGCGGAGAAGGCAGGCAGGCAGGTAGTGCGTGTCTCTGTACAGACTTGTGTGATACATATCTCGCGAACCAGAGCAAGTGAGAAGACGGCTGTTTGAGTGATCAAGGGTCTTTGAGTGACACTTCAGTTGCTAGTAGCCTGGTGCTTGTCTGTCCAGCCTGTCTGTCCAGCCGCTGCAGAGAAAGCAGCAAGGCACTGCCAGACAGTGGTTGTCGTCAGACAGAATTGAGTGAAGGACATCTCGCGAACCAGAGTGGATTGAGAGTGGATTGAGCGGTCCGTGGCGGTGCCTTGGTTGCCGAGAAAGGAGCGAGTGGATAGTGGGCTGTTGGAGGGGTGACAGTTGAGAATGAAGGAGAGCGAGTGGGGAGCTGCTGCTTGGTGCGAGTAAGGCTCTCACCCGGTCGGTTCACAGCAAGGCTCTGACCTGGTCGGTTCACATTGCCTTTTCATCGGCTGGGTGGGCTGCCCGGTGTGTAGGCTCGATTGAATGGCAGTGCCTGCGCGGTTATTTCTTTACTAGGTCGGTGCGGATCTGAACTTTCCCCTAGCCAGCGATACTGGCGGAGCGCGCGATTATCGGTTAAATTCGCAGGTCTGACAAACATTCTTTGCCACGTGAGTGGCTGTTTGAGGAACGTACAGTCCGTCTGAAGGTACAGTGTGGTGCATATCATGTGTCGGTCTGGAAAAATGATGTGTCGGCCCACAGAGGTGCAACTCTGACTATAGTCTATTGGTTGTCGCAACACCAAGATCTACTCTCGCCACAAATAAAACACAAATGACACTACTCTGTCTTGGGGTGGATGGACTTTCTTCGCATATCCGCACCTCGTTGAAAGCTTCTCCCTTGGGTTTGCGATTTTTAGAATCGCTCCCATGCCGAAAAGAACCCTCGGCACAGCACCGAGACACTCGGAAAAAATGAAGAAAAGCATTGATAGATGGATTGATTGGCTGATGTACCTGCCTGCCCTTTCTGTCTGTCGGTCGGTCGGTCGGTCGGTCGGTCGGTCTGTCGGTCTCTCTGTCTGTACGTATGTGTTTGTGTATACGTTTCGTGTCCGATGGATGGATGGATGGTTTGACTGATGTGCCGGACTGTGTGCGTGTCTGTATGTGAATGTATGTGCTGTGTCTCGTGCTGTGTCTCATGTATGTATGTGGTGTGTCTGCCGGCACTGTCTGGCTGTATGTATGTGTATATCTATGGATTTATGTGTTGTGGCCGATGGATGGGTGGATACGCCTTCCTGTGTGCCTGTGTGCCTGTGTGTGTGTGTGTGTGTGTGTGGCGGGTCTTTTTAAAATTTCCCTCTAATTATTGTCTAATGAATTTTTGTTTGAGCGAATCGATAGAGGTGGCGGAGATATCGGATATGCACCTCGTTGAAGGCACCTTCCTGACCCAGCCTTTTTTGAAACCTCCCAAATATTTGAAAGAGGTTTCAAAAAAGGCTGGGTCAGGAAGGTGCCTTCAACGAGGTGCATATCCGATATCTCCGCCACCTCTATCGCCCGAAACACACGATCCCTCCTCCTCTCCCAAATATTTGAAAGAGGTTTCAAAAAAGGCTGGGTCAGGAAGGTGCCTTCAACGAGGTGCATATCCGATATCTCCGCCACCTCTATCGCCCGAAACACACGATCCCTCCTCCTCTCCTCCACCGACCGACCCCTCCTCTCCGAGCAGACTGATCGGTGGACGCCCAGCCTCGTCGTGATCGGAACCAAACCCAACTTCTCGTCATGATCCTCCATGACTGATCAATCAGTGCCATACGCAGCCTCGATGTTCCTCATGTCCCTTTCCGTCAGTGCCGTGCTGCCCAACGGGTCCGTCCGACTGCCGGCGGACGCCATGATGGCCACCGGTTGCGTTTTCGAGGAGATGCCATGAGCGAGGGGGGAGGTGGCGGGAGATGTTCTCTCCCATCAGAGTAAAGAGATGTGTTTGCTTCTCTGCATTTGAATAAGTCTCATCCTCAGCTGGCGCCACTTTTAAGAACAGGAAGTGGCATCCAAGAACAAGGAAGTGGCGCCTCATCCTTGAAAGATGGGTCGGATGCAAGGACGTTGCGGAGTCGTCAGATGCAGTTGGACAGTAGCAGCAGGCGGCTCGCAAGTTGTTCATTCATTCATTCATTCATCAGCGTTCCCATGAACACATGAAGCATTCATGGAAATGGTCTTGCAACACCGGGGTGACACCGGCTCGCCACGGTTTTCCTTGACTACCGCGGGCTTTCCCCCAAATCGTCTCTTTCACCCAAATTGTCCAAGGGGCACAGCAAACAGAATGTCGTCTGGTCAGCCGCTGAAACTCTTCAGCTCCACAACGATGCTGTGAAGGTGTGCGGATGGAATAAGTAGGGATGAAACGGACGATGCACAAGCCGAGATGCGACGGCATAGAGAGAAGGAAGTCTTGCCACAAGTGCAAATTGGATCACCCGCATTTTCTTCATTTTCTGCGGGGAGGAGAAGGGTGGGGACGGCGTGGACTTCTCCTGACGCTTCACCTTTTCGATTCCCTTTTCCTTCTGTCAACCGGCATACCTCGACAACCAGCACTTACAAGAAGTTGAAGTGTCACAAAGGAGTCTTGCCACACTCGTGAATGTTCCACAGATGATTGTAACGAAAAATCATCCTCAAACGCACCCACGAGGTATCTACAGACTTCTCATTCTGTCTCGTCCAAATCGTGATAGCACTGATATCCGGACGCTGTCTATTCTGCCGACAATGTCCATCCCACTGACTACTTGAGGATCGCATCGATTGCAGGGGTAGTGATGCCCTGTCCTTCACCAAGGGTCTTGGCCCAGTTGATGGTCATCTCGACAATAGATTCGTCTGGACGGAGCAGCTGCTGGACCACCATGCCCAAAAACCTGCACACCACACGAAGCCATGCACCACTGCTCGCGACCCACGCCGCATCTGCACACTTGTCTGTACCCAATCATCGCCAATCGGCCATGCTTCAGCTCCATCAACTGCCAGCTGCACAACAGGGAGGGTTGCTATTCATCTCCATCTACGCTCCTTTCTGTTAGCTCTGCTTACTTCTCTCGGATCCCCTCTCTGGAGAGTCGGAGAGGATCGAATCCTCTGTCGCCAGGAATGCGACCCACAAAGTTGCCGTTGTAGTATTCGATGGCGCTAATCACAAGCAGCAGCTGAATCATGCCGAGAGTTGGTGCTGTCAGGGGTGCCTCGAGGAAGTTCTTGCTGGGGAAGGCCTCGTTCCAGCGATACGTGCTCTGAAAGGAAGACGATTCAACGTTCCCCAGGCACCTTCGAGCGATCACGAGCATACCTGGACGAGCACTCCGAGAGTCGCCAGCATGCACACACGTCCGTGTTTCAGCTCCACCTCGCGCATGCGGGCAAGGTCCTGGTTGTTGGTGAAGCCGAAGGGGTCGAATCCCACGTCACCAACCAACTCGCCATTCAAGTTGTCAGGCTTCCGAGCGAAGGGAAGGGCAACACTCTTCTCGATGTCCTGCATACTGATCTGACCCCGCGAAGGACGCTGCGGGTCCTGAACCAGAGGGAAGAACATAGCTTCCTGTACACGGATCACTCTCTGCTCACCCGCAGTCCAGTCCGTGATCCTCCAGGTGGCGAAACGAAGGCATGCGAGGCCTGAACGGCAAGGACGCTGAAGAGCACCACAGGGATGGAATTCATTGGGAAAGGCGGGAGATACCTCGAGGTAACGAGGGAACGCGAGCCAACCGGAGTAAACAAATGGGAAACCCTAACCCATGCCGTGAACCCCTCACCAATGAGTTGCCCTCCTCCGTGGGGGGGTCGGGACTCGTTCCGCGACCCCAAGCGAAATGCAAAGCCCCTTGCGTCGTCGCGTATGCATGCAAAGCCCCTAAGCTCGCATGGAAGCCCCATCAGAAAGACTGTACCGAATGAAAAAGTCTCGTGGCCCCAATTACAAACGAACAAATGAAAAAGTCTCGCTGGCCCCAATTACAAACGAACAAACACGAACTTCGGGTAAGAGCGTGCCTCGCTCGCTAAAAGCTCGCGAGTCCCGAATATCGCGAGCGAGCCTCGCTCGCATTGCTTCGAGTCCCGAATTGGGTGTCTACAATGGCTCAGAGACGAAAAACAGTGGGCGACTTCGTTATTGGTAATACGATTGGCGAAGGCACATTCGGCAAGGTGCGGTCGGGCATTCATCGACTCACAGGTAAGAAACAGATGTAGTAATGACTTTTTTCTCGCTATCTTCAACATGTATTTGTCTCAAAAAGGCGAAAAGGTGGCGATAAAGGTCCTCGAGAAGGAGCGGATTGTCGAGCGTGCGGATGTAGAGAGAGTCGCGCGTGAGATCAGCATACTCAAGAAACTACGACACCCCCATGTCATACAGCTGTATGAGGTGAGGGAAGCAGACTGCGAGATGAACGGCACATCGCATGTGGGCTGGCCAATGGCTATGAACCATGACGCCGCTTCGGTTCAGATTGTTGAGACTCCCCGGCAGCTTTACTTGATCATGGAGCTTGCAAGTGGCGGAGAGCTCTTCGACTACATTGTGCAGTCGAAGCGTGTAAAGGAGCAGGAGGCGTGTAAGTTCTTCCATCAAATTCTGGCAGGAGTCGAGAAGATACATCAAGAGGGTGTCGTTCACAGGTAGAGACTGTGGTAGAGACTGTGGAAAGAGGAAAAATTGACATTCGCAACGTTTTCAGAGACTTGAAGCCCGAGAACTTATTGCTCGATGAACATCACACTATCAAGATCGTGGACTTTGGGCTTTCAAACCAATATATGCGTGGCGAGTTGCTGAAAACAGCTTGTGGATCGCCGTGCTACGCAGCGCCCGAGGTACGCAAGTATGGTTCAATGAGACCTCGTGTGTGCATACGTGATGAATTGCATACATGAGACAGATGATTGCCGGGAAGCACTATGACCCGCTCTTCTGCGACATTTGGAGTTGCGGGTTAGGAAGCGCAGCATTGGCTGAAACAGGTGCCATCGTGTGTGGCTGCCTTTGCTTCAGTGTTATCTTGTTTGCGCTGGTGGCCGGTTATCTTCCATTTGAGGACACCAGCACTCCCAAACTCTATTCCAAGATCCTGAATGGACAGTATCAGGTAGGAGGACTGAAAGCGCAACCAGAAGGCACGAGACTGATGTCTGTGATGTCAGATGCCCGCATTCTTGTCCCGCAGTGTTAAGGATCTGATACGAGGAATCTTGACCACCGACCCTTCCCTCCGCTTCACACTGGAACGGATCAGAGACCACCCCTGGTATGGATAAGGGATGGGTGGATCGCTGCCGGGAAAATGAGGCATCTGCAATGACACGTCCAGGTACAAGCAGCCCGATGTCATACTGCCGCAGCGCCCCCTGAGGCTCAGTGAAGGTGCTGACTTCCGGAGCTGTGAGGTAAGATGACACAAACGCGGTCATGGACAATGCTCCGACCCAGACTGTCTGTCCTGGTTCACCAGGTCATTGGCTGTGAGCGCTGCCACACCTGGCTCGAAAGGGAGGTGCCCGACCCCGCCATACTAAAACAGATGGCACAGATCAAGACAGACAGCAAAGTTGGATTCTCGCACGAATACGTCACAAGATGCCTACAGATCAACAAACATAACTCAGCAACCACCACGTAAGTCAGACAAAAGACAGATTCGTGATTCTACTTGCCGGCCATCTTCTGCTTGTTGTCATCTTTTGCTGTCGCTGTAGTTATTATCTTCTCCTGAACAAGTATATCAAACTTCGAGAGCGCAGTAAGCAAAGATGATAGCATTTTCCATGGGCATGTTTTCATGGGTATCTGTCAGATGGCACTCACCGTTCCAGCGAGGGCAGTCAGACATATCGCGCCTCCCTCATAAACAAGCCACGGCCAAGACAGTCCCATTTCGCCACAGACAGTGTGAGAAATCAATGTCACGCCCCCCTTCCACACACACGAACATAATCAATCAATGTGGTACACGTCAGCTTTTCACTGCGTATGGTCATCTTTTGCGGCGCGAGAGGGGTGCAGGGGATCACACGGAAAGGGACCGCCCGTCCCCCTTCCTCGGCAGATCAGGGCAAGCCACAAGGCACATTCGCGCTCAAAAACACCCAGCTGGCGCGCGTCCGGTGAGACCCCATCAGTGCCATCGACTCAGGTCTCGCATGATCGATGATCGCATGCTTGTGACCCTACTGTTTCTATGTAATTCAGGCTGCAACTGACCTTGTGGCTTCTGCTCCCGGCGCGGATGAGCGTGCCTGCACAAGCCAATTCAGCAGACCACTGGGCACAGTGCCTCTCACTGGACAAGGCAGCATGCGCAGACCGGTCCCGTGCAGGCAGCACCGTCCAAGACGTAAGACCACCTAGTTAGATGCGTAAAACTGAGGAACCGTCTGAGGATTTGTGTCCAGCGTCGAGCATTTCGACTTCGTATCCAACCCCTGATCGTATTTCTCTCGACAACCACCAACCACGACCGAAGCCACAGGAACTGGGTTTTTCAGCCGTGGGAAACAAGCGATCCCCACGACATTCCTTTGAGCCGAGGAACTCGAAGGAAGCAGGTATCTGAGAATAATATGGTATGCCATGGTTTCATTTGTTGAGGTACGTCACCGGTAGCTGACGGAAGAACCGAGCCAATGCCAGTGACATCCATCCGACTCGGTGCATGGGAAGGAGAGTCGCCTGAATTCACCATTGAAGCACTCCGCTTCGCTCCTCACGTCGCTAGCGAGAGTAAGGGACAGAGGGCGAGAGTTGCCTGATGTCTGCTGACAAAGTTCTTTTGACTTCACAGGCCCATCGTCATGCTACAGTCGCACTAATGGAAGTAGGTCGACAGGAAGGGTTTGTCGCTTTCTCCACCAGTATTCCGACTTTCAGCTACATTGAGCGCGTGGAGCGTCCATCCTCTGGCATCGCCGGTACACATGAGGCAGCAATTCGTGTCTCTCTTTCCATTTGTATCCTCTTATACAGTTGACGCATAGCTACTGCCGAAACGTTGCAGACCGGCAAAGGAGTGGAATCAATCATGCCGGCCACACTGAACGTAAAGAATAAGCAGAGAGACACGCTCGGCCACATGCGGAAACACATTTAGTTACTCTGTTTCAGTTCGTCCGTCCACAGCTGCTTGTCGGCTTCCTTTTTCGTCTAAACAGAGATTTGTTGGTGGCAGCAATGTGTCTGAGCGTGCTCGCATTCGTGGTGAAAACCGTCTCAAGACCAGCGACGCAAAGACAAGAGGCACTGGAGGCGCGATGTCATCCAAGATATCGCCACAAGGTCGAGTACACGGCAGTGAGATGTGGCGAGAGCGATCTTATGTCTCATGTCACGTCGTCTCTTTCAGCTACCCAGCTCGATCCTGAGGAACCAGTGTCGTCTCGTATCCGCCGCGACATTCCGGTGTGCACCAAAGCTGATGCGCGTCAACACTATCCTCGTCCACAGACGCCGGCCCTGTAAACATGATTAACTGTATTCTTTCCCTTAATGCTCCATCCCTATTCATGCGTTGCCCGCAGGCCCCATGGTGTCCCATCACCTTCGAACCTCATTCGTAAGCGACGGTATTCTGCATCGTCAAACGCGAAGACAGGACAGACAACTCAAGACGGTGGCTCGCTTGTTGGTGATGCAACGGGAACAAAAATGGACGGAACAAACAGCGGACAAGCGACCAGAAGTGAGAGCCCGAGGGTGCTCAGAACACGTCACTAACAATCATGCAATGCGTTTCCCTTCAGAAAATCACTTGATCGCTCCAGTCCGACCTCTCAGTGGCGCAGTGACGGCAAGGTACATCCTTTTTATCCAGCCCACTCTTGCGCTCACCTGTCTATTGTGCAGAGGACAGACATTGACCCCCTGGTGGAACGGACGATCTCTTAACCGAAGATTTGTTGACCCACCCCTCTCAGCCCGCAGTGGAAATGAGATTCAAAGAGAAAAGGAAATACTGTGAACCATACTTGATATTATGATGACAATGAACCGTTTCCATGTTTTTGACATCCCGTGTTCGTCGTCGAGAGGACGGTGCGCTGTCACAGGATATAGAGACGTCCTCTCAACGACGGTTGCACTGCCACAGGAACAGTTGATTCAGTATTCTATCCACACCACGTCTTGAACACTGGATGTATGTCAGCTGAGGATGTAACACTTGGTGAATAGACATACATCGTACATTTGTTTATTCCTCCACCAGTGTTGACTGTACGTTCCATGTATCCACTAAGTTCCATGCACTGATGAGGGCCGCACGCAAATTTGGAAAGGTCATGTCGTGAGCATGCCTTATGCACGAGATACACACAGTCTGCGGACACTCGTAGGTGTTCAGAACTCTGGTGAGGGCCGCAAGATCATCCGAAGTGGTCTGGCTCGTGCATTTGTACCGTCCCTTGCGGCTGGCAGCAACACCACCGCGACATGGTGCGTGTTGCATGTGTGTTGCTTGTTGCATGTGTATATTATCTTAACAAGCAACACATGTAGTCGACCAGCAACAAGCAAAACATGTAGTCGTGGTCAGGGTCGTTCGAATCGACGTCCACACCTTGACAGAGAAAACAGAGGGACTAGGGCAAGACGGCAGGTTTCCTTGTTTGTGGTTCTAAGGAGCCAGTACGGCCCTTGTTCGTCATTAGAGACAACAAAGGTGTTTTGGCTTTTGGCTGATTTGGCGATCCACTCTGCTACCTCGGCGTTGATGGAACCCCCGCGAACGCGGGTCGACGAACGGCTACGAGGGGGTAGGAACCCCCTCGTAACGGAAGGCGATCGGAAAGGGACACCTTACAGAATGTCGCGGATCGAAAGGTACACACTAACTTCTAATTAGCTCGCATAGCTCGCACAGCTCAAAGCACTTCTTCAAAGGCAGATGGCCACCATCGTGTGAGGCGATTTGGCGGCCATTCCTGAAGACCTGGAAAGCCGAATGAAAAGGTGCTTGCTGGTGAACGACGATGCTGGCCGAGAAACCAAAAAATCGGCTGCACTTGTGTGTGACTAAAGAGAGGGCGCAGACAGCAAAGGGAGGTGGTGATGTGGACGACGCAATGTCGCCCCCTCCCCCTTGAATGGGGGAGGGGGCTGCAGAAGGTCATCTTCCATGAGCCAATGGTCAGAAGCAGAAAAGAGCGCGTCGACCACAGACTGATCGAAGGTGATGATGGCTGTCATGTGGGATTCCGACACACGGATCTCCTCATCTGAGCGCTCCTGTGTCTGCCTGGCAGGTGTGTTGATGTTTCGTTGAGCCGCATTGCCGCCCTCTCTATTGCCAAGTGAGCCGATGGCCGTCACGCAAGGTTCGAACTTACATACATACATCCATCTGCGTGCTCCGGTATGCGGGTCTTCCCGCATTCATATGTGTATGCGCCATTAATTTGTGCATCCATAGCATCTGAGCACAAAGCTTTTGTCGTGCCCATGT